TATATATATATATATATATATATATATATTTATATATATATATATAAAATACAACAATTCGTATAAATTCACATACATTTTTTTTAGAAAGTATTTTAATACCAAGAAACAAAATGTAGTCAAGTCTGTCCACAGTTTTGACTGTGTGTCTAGGTCTGTCTCTTATCAACTCAACCCAGAGGCAGTGTGTTACTCTGACAGAGTATTACTGACACACACACACGCCGATCATGTGACCCCAGCTGTGACATCACGGTCAGCTGGGCTCGTGTTCACGATGCTGGACCGGATCGATCGCACAATCTCAGTCTCTGCAGGACAGCGCTTCCCATCATGCACCTCTGCCCTCTGAGGGACACCTGCGCAGCAGGTGAGCACCCATCCACACTCACCACGGAGACGCCGCTCGCTTACCTGGCATTTTCCAGTGCGAACGTCATAAAGGGCCACTGAACCCTGACGGGCGCCGACAGCGATACGATAGCTGCGATCACAGTACGCCACCATATAAAACCTGCAGAGAGAGAGAGAGATGAGAGGAAACACACTGCATACTGATTCAGACACTAGCTCACTCCTGCAGGAGACCATGTGCTCCACTTGACATCCATCTCTCTTTTTTACTACATTAATGTAAATAAGAATGTTTTGAATCAACTTATTTTTCTACAAAATAATTTGTAAACTGTGAAATCTTAATTTAAAATTCATTTTAATTTTACTCATTAGTTTATATTTTGTTATTAAATTAAAATTGTAGAATACAAATTTCTATCAAAAATGCTAAATAATTGTTTGTTATAACTGAGTCATAATAAATAATAATCAACAAGTAATACATAAAGAAATATTATTTAAATTATTTTATCACATTTAATTTCAGTGTGATAAATCAACCACAATTTTAATGATAATATAATCAAATCACTACTTTTCTATAAAAATAATTTATCAATTATTTTAAGAATTTTAATTTAGTTTTACACAAAATAAAAATAATTAAGTAACTGTAAATTATTACGTTTATTAAGTTAAATTTTTCAATTATTGACATTTATTATTTAATGTAATTTTGTGTGATTAAATTAAATTTTTAGTATCCAAATTTCAATCGTCAATCCAAAATGAAATGAATTTTACCTAAATTAATTCTGTAGATATTTAATTAAAAATTTAAATTTTTAGCATAAAAAAATATTTTCATAATGTTTAAAAAAAGAAAAAAAAAGAAAAATAATTGTTTATTTGTCATAAATAATAAACAACATGTAATCAGTAAATAAATAAATATTAAAATTATTTCATAAAAATTTGCATACATTTTTTCACGAAATTAATTTAGTCGACATTTTGTTTATTGAAAAATAATACAGTTTAGAACACAAAATTCAATCAAAAATGCTAAATAATCACTTATTTCTGAGATAATGGAATAGCATGCTTTAACATACTAATTATTGAAAAACAATGTTGCATACTTCATATACCTTATAAAGGTAGTATGCAAATTGGGTATATATGAGCCTGTATAAGGAATCCCACAAGAAAATTACAAAAACTAAAATAAAAAATAAAAAATTATATAAAAGAAAAATAACATATAATATATTTTAATATATAAAAATAAAATGGCAAAACCGCACAAGAAAATTACAAAAAGTAAAATGAAAATAAAAAATGAGAAATAAAATAATATTAAAATGATATTACTGTAATGCATGCACACACAAATTCATAAACACACACTGACCTGCAGATGGCTGGGAAACACTCAGACAGGCCTTTCTTCTTCACCAGAGAGCCTTCAATGCAGTACATGATGATGTCCATCACCTGCAGGACACAGTGTGTTTACATCTGCATGTGTTATGAGCTGCAGCAGTCAGCTGATTGACATTATTTGACACACTGGGCCTGTTTCTGTTTGAAATGACTTGAGTTGTGCCGAGGATCATCAGCAGATATTGTGTGCAAGGTGATCTCTAGTGTAGCAGTGTTAACGGTTAGCGTGTGCTTGTGTACCTCCACCAGCAGGTCCACCACATCAGACGGCATTTTCTCGATGAGAATCTCCATGACGCGCAGGATTTCAGTTTTGGCACGAGCGAGAGTCGTGATGTGAACGTTCTGCTGAGACTGAGAGCCCTGGGACTGCATCGCTGTGTGTCTGTGAACCTACACACACACACACACACACACACACACACGTTTGTTTCTGTGAATTGTGGGGACTTTCCATAGACTTCTATTACTTTTATACTGACCAAACAATATTTTCTATCCCCTAAACCTGGTGTAACCCTAACCCTAAACCTACCCTTTACAGAAAACCTGTTTGCATTCTTACACTTTCAGATAAACATAATTTACTGTTTTTAATCATTTTTTTCCCTCGTGGGGACCACAGGCCGGTCTCCACATTGTCAAAAATTTCAAGTTTTACTATCCTCGTGGGGACAGTTGGTCTTTACAATGTAGCATAAACAAGTACACACACATACACGCACGCACGCACGCACGCACGCATGCACACAACACACACACACACACACACACACCACATCAATGACAAACACAGACTTAAGGAGACATTTCAGTGAGTTTTATGGTTTAATGCACATATCTGAGTTGTGTGAGTGTATAAATGTTTGTGCTGTTTGTGTATTTGTGCATAAAAGTATGTGTATTTTTGCATGTACCTTTCTTTCTTAGTGTCATTTTTAAAGGGGTCATATGATGTTGCTAAAAAGAACATTATTTGGTGTAATGAAATGTGTTTATGCGGTTTAAGGTTCAAAAACACATTATTTTCCACATACTGTACATTATTGTTTCTCCTCTATGCCCCGCCTTTCTGAAATGCGTTGATTTTTACAAAGCTCATCGGTCTGAAAAGCGAGGTGTGCTGTGATTGGCCAGCTATCCAGTGCGTTGTGAATGGCCGAATACCTCAAGCGTGTGACGGAAATTTTACACCCCTCACCATACTGTGATGCCCTGTCCGGCCGGAGCGACGAGACAAAAACAAGAAAACCCATTATAAACGAGGCATTTGTTGCATCCAGTGGGGACATAATTATGGATTATAATGACTTATACCGTCTTTTACACATTGCGTTGCATCGCGCCGCGTAACATATGTGATCGGAGAAATGACAAACAACAAGTACTACTCTACACTGCCCAAAACTCGCGTTTGAATCGTCAGTGGCAAATTCTTTAAATATCAGCTGGCATTGTAGTCTACTCTTCCAGGATCAGGAAACATAAAATGTGCTGCACACATCTGAATATTTGGGTTGAAGTGTTCTGGAACAGTGTTGTAAATACAACTTTACAACTTTA